TCAGTCCCCCTGCCTGTCCTGCAGTGTGATACCAGGGGAGGAGCAGGTCATGGATGAAGGAGCGGTGGTCAACGGCTGCCATGATGAGTACAAGACCAACGGCAACAAGGTGGGTCTGATGTTATGGTATTTGGTTTGCGTTTCATTCTGGCTGCACTGCAGAAGGACACAAGCGCCGTGCATCTTTGAGGAGACACTACACTGGAATGACGTGATGGCAGCGGACACTGACGCTTTATTTGGTATTCATGGTGGAGAGAGCTGCTCTCTTCCACAGGGTCACCATAGCAGATCATCTGCATATGTGAGTCTGCACAGGTTTTAGAGCCAGATGCTTGGATCTGGCAGTAGATAAATTGAAAACCCCTCACCTTCTGAGTAAACTCCCTACCCACAAAGCTACTTTATATTATTGCTCTTTCGCTGCAGCAGCCTGGAGTCATAAGCACCCTCTCATTTTCTCGAAATTAAGAATCTATTTCTATCTTTACCTTCCACTCTGCCTTTCAGGACCCTTCCCATCTGAAGTGTTCCCCACTGATGTCTGCCGAGTGCACACCCAAGGCTGTGAACGGCCTGCTGAGTCCTCGACCAGAGACCTTGCACAACAGCCAGACGTCACTGTGCGAGATGTTGCAGGAAAAGGAGAAGAAGACGTGGAGCGGAGGGGCCATGGGCATGGACCACTCAGCGCTAATTCCTCTGAGATCCAAGAACTTCAGGGAGAGGAGTGACGCTCACTTCGTAGATGTGATCAAGGAGGACAGGTACGATTTGTGTTTACTAATTAACTTACAACATCTGTTGCCCCAAAATGTGTCTATACATTAAACAATAGTCTAAATAATCAGAGTCTGAGTAAGAATGTGCGGCTAAATATGTTTACACAAATTTGACAGTATATTGGTGCAATAAGATAGAACAGAGCTAGAAACAGAAATATCAATCCAAAGATGTAAAAGATAAAATAAGAACACAAAGTGTAAACAGGATGCAGTGGGTTGGATTGATCTGTCTAGAACTGTAATAAATGCATGCATAGACTCTGCTCTTAACGGCAGAACACAAAACATAATGACGTGGATCTCACTTGGAAAGGACTTAGAATGCACATCACTCACTGTGATGTACTGAGAACATCAGACGTGTGCACTTCAACATCCAACCGTCTCCTTGTTGACCCTCACGTCCCACCGTAGCCACAGAGGATTGCATGTATTAAATACACACAGGGTTGTGAGATATGTTGCTTTCTGCTTACAAACATGCTCACACCTAACAAGTGGACCTAGGGTGGATTGATGCTAAAACATGGGACATGTTAATCCAAGATACAATTTGTTCCATCAATGCTAATCAGCTGTTATCAGAACTCTGTAGTAAATGGTGCGACTTGCCCAGTCGTGTCTAGCACAACTATAACTAGCATTTTAATTTAATTAACTAAAATCACACACGTATACATAGAACCACGTTAAATGCACTTTTTAGAAAAAAAAAAAAGTCAGATTTCCCGATGTACCACAGGAGGGAGCCCTAGCACCACTAGTGGTACGCTAACCATAGTTTTAGAACCACCAATTCCAGATTTCCACTCATTATGTCCATTTCACCTCCTTCAGCCTTTCCTTAATACTGTATTTCAACAATCTGAGGAAGTTACTCTATTATTAACACAGGAAGGAGAAACGTTGCACAAACAAGATCCTCTGGTACATGACCTGTGGTCCATGTGCCTTATGCTGAAGATGACATCATGTTCAACGCAGGCACACTGTAACACCTGCTAAACAGCAATAGACCAACCATAGAAGAGTCAAACACACATCAGTGTAAAAAGGGTGCTTTAACCCCCCCCCCTGCTGATACAAGGACACTGACCCTAACTGTGCATGTAAACGCACCGACACATCACTTGGTACCATTTAGCTCATCAGACAAAAATTATAACTGGAGTTTTTTTGGTTTGTAATTTCCTCTGATTTTCTCTCCTTCCTGCCTCAGCCTGATGAAGGACTATTTTTATAGACCTCCCATCAACAAGCTGAGCCTCACCTTCCTGGAGAGGAGTCTGGAGTCTGCTTATCGGATCAGCTACCAGGAGGAGGTGTGTGTGAGTGTGTATCTGTGAGATAACTGTGACTGTACACCTGGCTGTATAATGACATCATTTTTGATTTAATCTGACCACCACCCCCTCCCTTCTCCCTATATATTATATAAATTAGTATTCACATGTCTAAGTTTTGGTTGTTGTCGTTGTATTTATTATCAGTAAAAGTGTCTTTTCCTTTGTTTGTCTGGTCACGTCTAAAAAACCTGTAACAAGTGTGTTATGATCAGAGCGGTCAAGACTGCGGCAAAGCCAAGTCACTGCAGGACAGTCAAAGTCGAAGATCTATTGGGTTGCAGTGACCTCTGCTGGTGTAATTTCCGGAGTACAAGTTACAATATCGTGCCTTTAATTGTAGCGCACACAGTTTACCCGGGTTGTGTTGTAAAGTGTAAATGTAAATCGGAGCTAATAGAGATACTTTAGACAGCTCGAATGCGCGGATGTAGTAAGGAACAATTATTCATTCATCGTCCACAGCTTAATCCGTTTCAGGGTCATTATCATCAGGCGAGGGCGGAGCATACCAAGACAGTTCCTCAGCCAATCACAGGGCCACAAAAAGTCACAAACAACCATTCACAGTCACATTTATAGCTGTAGTTAATTTATAGTAAACAGTGAACTCTAAGGAAGCAACCAGAATTTCCTCATGAGAACCTATACAAACACCGAGCAGGAAGATTTGGTATCAAACAGTTGAACTTCTGCCTGTAAAACAAGAGCAATAAGGAAGTGAACTCCTTGTCATTGTGACACTGGGACACACATCACCGCACACAACGACATGTGACCTCTGTTTTTAACCCATCACCAAAGTGACCACTTAACCACTAAGCCACCACTGCCCCACACTCTTCCATAAAAATGTTTGTGGTAATTCATTATATTCTAGTACTCCCTATACTCCATACTCCCCACCACCAGTTGGTGAAACATCTTCTTTTAGAAAATAAGTAAACATAACTTTTCAACCTTGACCATGACCTGGATGACTGAGAATCCTCATTGACATTCTATTCTAGTGTTTTTGTATTAAAATCTATTTACCTAAGAATTTTACCTGTTTTTTTGTTTACCTGTTATTTACCTGTTTTTCTGAGCTTGTATAACTACACTTTTTCACGTGTTTTTTTTCCCAGGTTGAAACACAAGCAGCTGTGCAGACGTTTGCCAGTCCGACGTTCAGCTCTTTCCTGGACATGTTGCTGTGCTGCTCAGTGTTTCTGGCTCTCTCGCTGGCGTGTTTCCTCCGACCACTCGTCACTCAGCAGAGTCCGTCCACACTGGCCCTCATCCTGACAGCTGGAGCCGCTGCACTGGAGTCTGTGGCTCTGATCTTCTCAATACGGTGAGATACTCTGTGCAGGAATCTTGAAGTAATTTTGACTCCTTAACGTGTCTGTTTCATTGCAGAGGTATTCTTTTTTATAAAGGCAGTCTCACAACATACAGGTAATGAACAAAGTATTTATCAGCCTGCAAAGTATTACAGGTTGTATTGTATCAATCAATTCATTGATTATGCTATAAAATAAGTTAACTTTATTGTTTTATTACTCCAATCTTTTAAATGACTCATCAGGGATATTTAAGGGTTTCTTAATCTGAATAGATCTACACATATGTAGAAGATGCATTTAAAACAGGAACACAAAGAAATGTGGAATTGTTGATCAAATTCTTGAAGTAAGGACTTACTCAATTTTGCATGTCTTGTTTATGCATAATAGTATTAAAATCTTAAGTGAAAACATGTAAAATAAAAATAATAAATCTTCTAGAATGGTGGAATACAGAGGAATATATATATGTTTATATATACATTTATTTTTAATGTATTTGTTTTATTGTATTTTATTTTAGTTTTTGCATAATTGTATTTTTAAAAACAAATCTTTTAACTGGTTGCATTGTTAAAGTTGCTAAAATCACAGATTTACTAATGAAAGGCTTTTAAACAAGACTCTTTTTTATAATTATTATTCTATCAGTGTTGATTTCCTGTTTTACTCTTTGCAGCATGGCCTTCTACCTTGACAGTACGATGAAGTGCACTCATGTGCTGATGAGAGTGATCTCAGGATGGATCGCCCGACATTCAATCGGTGCTGTCCTGGTGTCTGTTCCTGCAGTGGCCATCTTCTCACATGTCACCTGTGACATGCACCTGTCCATACAAGTAGACTTGATCTTTAAAGTTTATAATTAGTATAAATCACATCTATTTTCTGGACCTTGCCTGTGATTCCTCTGGTGCTCTCGAATACTTAAAATAAAAATGATTTTAGGTATTCGAATGTTGTGTGCCTTGTTGTTTGACTAAAACATATTTCTCTCTGTTTTTGTTTTTAATTCCCAGTTCACTATGTTCATCTGCTGTGCAGTCATCATTGCTATTATCCAGTACTGTAATTTCTGCCAGCTCAGCTACTGGATGCGCTCAACACTAGCAACGCTAGTGGGACTAGGAGTACTTACCTTGCTCTTCTGCTCCCCCTGCAGGTAAACATGGTTATTTTTTATTTTAATCGCTGAAGTTGATTTTTATTTTTATGTGATTGTAAACAATAATATTGTGAAGATAATACAATTAGCCATCATTCTACAAGTGAAGTTATATTGTGCTGGTGTATCAACTGTTGAATTGATGCCATCTACTTGTGTTTTATTTCTTCCAGTGTTGCCAAGAATCTGATTTTATGGTATGTTTGATTTTAATTACATTAAAAAGTTTCCCATTTTAATATGTGTTATTTTAAACTTTTCCAAACTTTTTTGGTTTTTGTGACACTTTTAGACAACAGCTCAGGAAGTTAACATGTTGAGTAGATCTGAAAGATTAACTACAGTTTTATGTTTATTACTATAATAAACACATTATATTATAATTTAGAATATTTTGTAGCTGTATTTTGGTTTAATATTGTGTTTCTTTATGTAAAGTAAAACAATACAATGTTTTAAGTTAGTGTAGTACATTTAAAAATGTAGTGCTCACATTTGTTGTTATACATAATTTCTGTTATACATAACAATAATAATTGTTATATTGACAGGTGAGTGTGATGTGCATCCTGCTCTCTCTCTCACTCTCTCACTCTCTCACTATCTCACTTACTTTTTCCTCCAGGTCTAACAGGCCGATCAACAACACTAACAGCTCAGGTGTCATGTCTGACACTTTAGTAGAGTCAGACCCACAGACTTCCCTCCATGCCCTGCTGGGCCCTGAGGCCTGTGTGGCTTTTTTTCTCCTCCTTCTCCTGGTCTGGTTTCTTAACCGTGAATTTGAGGTCAGTTACCGTCTACATTACCATGGTAACGTGGAAGCGGATCAACACCGCATCAAGATTCAGAACATGAGGGACCAGGCCGACTGGCTGCTCCGCAACATCATCCCCATCCATGTGGCCGAGCAGCTGAAGGTTACCCAGAGCTACTCTAAGAACCACAACAACGTGGGAGTCATATTTGCCAGTATTGTCAACTTCAGTGAGTTTTACGAGGAGAGTTACGAGGGAGGGAAGGAGTGTTACCGCGTCCTTAATGAACTCATTGGCGACTTTGACGAGCTTTTACGAAAGCCTGTCTTCTCCAACATCGAGAAGATCAAGACCATCGGAGCCACGTACATGGCAGCATCGGGTCTGAATGCACAGCAGTGTGCGGATGCAGCCCATCCTCATGCGCACCTTCGTGCTCTTTTTGAGTTTGCTCTAGAAATGATGCATGTGGTCGACGACTTCAACAAGAACATGCTCGGATTTGGCTTCAAGCTTCGCATTGGATTCAACCATGGTCCTCTAACGGCGGGCGTCATTGGCACCACCAAACTCCTTTACGATATCTGGGGCGACACAGTCAACATCGCCAGTCGTATGGACACCACGGGTGTGGAGTGTCGTGTCCAGGTCAGCGAGGAGAGTTACTGCGTCCTCAGCAGCATGGATTATGAGTTTGATTATCGTGGCACAGTTAATGTGAAAGGCAAAGGTCAGATGAAGACCTTCCTCTACCCTAAGAGCAGTGACAGAGGCCCAGTACCTCAGTACCAGCTCTCAGTGTCTCCAGAGATACGAGCACAGGTGGACGGAAGCATCGGCCGCTCGCCGACAGATGAAATTGCAAACATTGTCCATACGGTCCCCAGCACCAGTACAACAACATCCTCTACCACTTCTGCTTCCTCTCGTGTGGCAGGGCTAAGTCAGGAAGTGGTTATTTGTCAAAGACGCCCGTCTGCAGAAATCCCTCATAAGAGACGATCTCTGTCTCCCAGCGGCATGACGTCTATACCTGTCACCAGTCTGGAAGCACCTCCTCTGGCTGCTTCTGAAAGTAACAAGCAGCTCAACAGCTCATCCTCATCCCAGCAGAAAACAGCTCTGGACAAACATGAGCCTGAGATTGAAGGTGCAGAGTTCACCAGACTTTAAAGATGCTACAGTAGAATATCAACCCTTTAAGCTCGTGTTCCTGCCGGTTGGCATGTGTAGAAGCTACTGTACATTTGGTACTGTTCAAATGTCCACTGGTGTCTTCTTCTGCATCAGCCAAGTTGGTTAGGTGGAAATCTGATTGGCAGATGATACTACAGAGAGATGCTGGTTGGACGACATCCAGGCCTGTCACTATAACTTCTGTCTACCGTTTTCATCGATGTAAATGTAACAGGTTTTTAAATTTAAAAAACCTACAGATTTTAGAAATGCTATATCGTAAATGAGACCTTTAACTTCTCGTTACCTGGGCAGAAGATTACAAATTTGAAGAATTAAATTAAACACTCTGGTTGCTTAAGTATACGCACTCTCAAAGTCATACTACTTTAAACACCTTTTGGGTCAACATCATATTTGCACACCTAAATGGTTACAATGCGTAAATGTAAAATTTCAATCCATAGATTTAATTTTTTTTACTTTTAAGTTGCACCGTAGCTTTTTTACAGCCTGTAATATTTTGCAACCTTTTTGGAGCCATAAAGTCTCTCCACTTATTAACTACATTACTGCTGACGGTGATACTGTATTTGTATCATCTTTTCAATCTCACCTGACCTTCAATTCAATCTTTTATATGTGTTATTGTGGACTATTGGTGTTAATGAAGAATAAAATGGCAAAACAAATGATATTACAATAATAGTACATTATAGTATTTTGGCAATGGTTTCATTGAATTACTAGAGGGTGTGTAAACTCATGCAACCTCATTATGAGTTTAATTGTTATTGTTCCCTAACATAAGTATTGCATGTATTTTACAATGGGATAGTTCAGATATTTGGTCTCATTAATAATGAAAACTATTCCTAAAAAAATGCATCTCAAAATGTGTGTCTTTGCAGACTTTAGACAGTGGCCAACAGTAAACACTGTAGTGAGGCAATGTTGGGGTCTCCACAAGACACTGTTGATGCTTTACCTCCTCAACCTATCAGTTGATAATATCAATATCAATTATTGTGACGGCTAATAAGAGGCAAAATGTCAGACAGGGACAGATGGAATATGTGAAAGATGTGGCGGCAGATGTCAGATTTTCTCTCGCCAATACCTTCTTATACTGTAATTGATTATCCTCACACCTTTAATCTTAATAATTTATTTTATTATATTTTGAAGTGCCTTTAGTGTAGAGTAATGTGTAGACACTTTTGACTAAAAGGGAAGGATAATATAAAGGGAAAACCTGTAAATTCGTCAACTTTGTGGGCAAAAACTGCTTTGCTTTTGTTGCTCAAGTTTTACTTTGTTTACTGAGATTTGCTGCCATGATTTGCCTTTCAGCAACTAAACACTCACAAAGCTGACCTTACATACAGTGTGGATGGATGTATTGGTCCATGTTTTTCATGGACAGAGCCAAAAAATGCATCCAAAAAACCCCTAAAGAGACCAATCAGTGCAGAGAAAATGCAGACACAGACAATACTTTAACTTTGTGTCCTGAGTGTATTTGCATGCACTATGTGTTTTAAGTGTGTCTGCGCATAAGGATGAGTGTAGATGCCAGTGCATTAGTTGATCTGATTGGGTGACAAACATTTGTGGAACGCAGTAGACAGAGAAGTTATCCTGTTTGCTGATAAGGCAGTTTCTTCCTCTGGCCTTGAAGCACCATGGTCTCAGCTCCTCCTAATCAACCCCTTTGCAATAACAATGTACTAGATGAGGCTAAATACCACCAATGTTGTGTCCTTCCTCTTGATATAAGCTGGAACTTCTGGTGAACCAATTCGATTGGTACTGATGTACCTTTACAGTCTTCTGGACTGACTCTAGGTCAAAAGAACAAGACAAGGGTTTGTTGGATTACACTGTTTTTGGTTAGTAATGATTTTTAAGACATGGATAATCAAAGAGGAGTGTGTCAAATCAAATGTATTTTATGGTATTTTCTTGTGATGCAAACATAAAGTTGTCACGTGAAGCTGCCCCTTCCTTGTTTCTACGATTTGAAAGGGAATTTTATTGTGGTGGCATGAAGTTTCATTGTGTGAGCACTGAAGAACGGTGCACTAAATGTTTTTCCTATGACTATTTGGAATATTTTCAGTCTTAGGGAATTCATGTTTAGTTACAGTACATCTCTTGCTCCAACATTTCCCTCTTTAACTGGTATCAAACAGAGGATTGTGTGCTCAAAAGCCAAGTGTGGAAAACTAAAAACTCAATTCTGACTGTAGAACCTCCTCAGCAGCAAATATTTATTTTTCTGTCACTTAGAGAAATTGATAGGATGAACATCAAATATGTGTTTTTCCCGTTACATCTCAGACTTTTTCTATAACCAAAACAGTTGAATAAGAAGAACTTAAAACGTTTTTTGTTGTAATTTTATTATTTTTTTTATTGTGTTTTTTTATGGAAGCTGTCTTATACTTGACTGCTAGACTTGGATTTGGACATAGCCATTGTGAACGTTCCTTGGTTTACAAGTGAAGCTTTAGTAGACTGCAAGTGCTAAGCCTTTTTTGTAAAAGAAAAACAAAACAAAAAATGTTTTGTTTTACAAAATTCATTATGTTTTACTTAAATAGACAGGACACTTTTTTATTATTTTATTATAACATAGTAAGCCCAACAATCATAAGTAATTTTAAACATAGTTTAAGAGGTTGAAAAAAATAGGTTTTGGTTTCTTCCCTTCCACAGTGGAAGAAGAGACAGTTACAAGCATGTAAGACATGGAGTAGATGATGTTTGCTGAGACTCAAACCTGCCATTGACCTACTAGAAGCTCTGTGCCCATGCGGTCCCAATTTATCTACACATGTACTCTGGGTGATACCACAGAATGTTTATAGTAAAAGCATTTTACTTCTAGCGCCTTCACTTCATCCAAAACCATTAGAGCACTTCTGGTTTACCCGCGGGACCTCACTTTGCAACCAGATAGCTTCGTCCAGTTTGTATGTACAGACTATGTTGCTGGCTCATGTAAACATTTTGTTTTAACCTCTTAATCATTAACAAAAAGTTTTTTCAGCCAACGGCAAAAACTTAAAATGAGGATTTATTCATTTTTTCCCCTTTCATTGACCTGTTTGATTTGTATTATTTACAGAGATTAAAGGGATTTTCTGAACCAAGAGAACGACACACTGGGAAACTGATGCCAAAGAGTGTCATCACCATCTCATCCATGTCCTCTGCATCATGTCTTAATTTGCAGGTTGATTTGTGCACGTTGAAGTAATTTATATATTCAATGTTAAATCACATTTGCACAATGCTTTCACTTTTTATGTACAGTATGCCTTTATATTGTAAAGCATTTTCTATTATTTATATAATTGCATGTACTGGAGTATTACATAGTTAAATGAACTGTTATTTTCACAAATATTTCAATAATATTTGTGTTGTGTTAGCCTGCATGTGTGTATAGTGGGCGTTTGTAAATGTTTCAGGTGTGTGAGTGGGTGTGTGTGTTAAATGAGATGCTCAAATTCTACCAATAACGTAACCTAGACATTAAAGTCAACCTTGTCATCTCTAAAAGTATGACCTGCTACAAAAACGTTTAAATCAGCGTAGCTTTTCTAAAAACTGGCTAAACAATGTAGATGAGGCTCTGCACAATGCCTGCATTAGGCAGTATCTCAGTAGCCTGCTACAGATGGTTTTGATAAATTGTTGCTTTCTCTGGAATTGTTTTTGTATGTAGCACGCAAATAGTTATACAAGTATAAGTATATAATAAAGTCAGTTGCTTTGAAATGTTGTGTTCATGAGCGTTGGACATGAAACCAAATGTATATTTTATAGTCAGGTTTCAGGCAAGAGCTTTAATGTAAATGGAGCTACAGGGCTTTGATTTTTATGCTTTTATAAGCTGTACTTAATAACTGCTTCATTCACCTAAAATTGCAAATTAAGATTAAAGTGTTGAAATATTGAATATCAGTTTATAATGTAAACATTTTTAGTGATGTGTCTATTTACCATAATTTGAATAATGTAATTTCTGACTGTGGATTTGCCTTCTTATGTATTTATTATTTTAAAAATGAGTATTAAAACATATGTTATTATGATGTTAATATCAATAGAAAATGTTCCTATAGTAGCACAGGAGACCACAATCCCGGTTTAAGCCAAACAACTTTCTTAGACCAGTGACAAAAGCTGGTAATTCTTTGAATATCAACACACACTTTTTTATACCAGCAGACCAAGCATTAAAACTTAATATTAGCCATAATGTAACTAGTGTTTTGCTGAAAAATGGCAACATTTTTGAAAGAATATGACTTAAACATGTAAGACAATATAAAACAAATAGGGATACGGCATAACCCAGTATAATGAAGAAAAAAATATAACTGGACTGCAGTATGGCAACATAGTTTGAAATTCTGTAATAATAAAAAAAACTGCAAAATTACACCTGCTTGTTTGAAGCAAATATCACTGAAATGTCTTGTAAATAACTGCAATTGCTAACTTGAAGGCAACATTAAACATGAGCTAAAAGTAAAAAATATTGCATTTATTACTGTATGTTTATTGAGTCGTTGGATGATTATTAAAGATTATAGTGTCTCATGATGGGAAGCAATAATGCAACAAAAATAGAACATTTTAAAAAGCGAAATGTTTTAATAGTGCACAAATCGTATGTTATTTGAAAATGTTAAATTTTCAGGTCACAGGGTTTTTTTTAATATGTATTTAAGGCTTAAAATGGTAGCTATGAAAAACCGGGTGTTGTCTATTTACACAATACACGAATGTAAAACCTGAGTAAAATAAGGAGGTTACACAAAAATGAAAAACTCTCTTTTTCTACTTGCGTCCACATGACGCACGGTGGGACACTCAGGTTGACGTCAGGGCGTCACAGCTCGACACCTCCCCCTCTCTCCCCCCTCAGTCTCGCTGGGAAGAAAAAAAACTTTTTTGTATCTGAGGAATCAACAGCCGCCATCTTGACGCGGCTCAGAATCGGGATTTCGGGGGGAGCATTAATTTTAAAAACCGATCCAGGCACCACACACCAAGCCCAGAAGCCTTT